AGTCGTGTTTTGATTTTTTGGCTCTGTTTGCTGGTATTTTTTGGTTGTTTTTGTTGATTTTAGCTCTTTTTTTTGTTACTTTATTCGTCTTTTGGCTCTGTATGTTCTTAGTATTTTGTTATTTTTGTTGGTTGTTTATTGGTCATTTGTTACTCTATTAGTCGTGTTTAAATTTTTTGGCTCTGTTTGCTGGTTCTTTTTTGGTTGTTTTTGTTTATGTTTATGTTTATGTTTCTGCGTTTTTCAGACGCTTTTCTCCAAAGCGACTTACAGAGTAGACACAATATTCCATTTCGAAGTGTGTGGAATCTACTGAGAATGAGCCGGTCTAACCCTAACTGTAGAGCTCGTTTCTGTCTTTTTTCTGTCCGTTAGACTAAAAACTGTCTGCTAACCGGCTGTTTGGTTTGTGGATTTTGTGTTTTTTTCTGAATGAAATGTTAACAATCATGTGAGCTCTTTAATAAAAAGCTGAGGACTGAGACTCTGTGGGGGGTTTCCTTTTTTATGATTCACTTATTTTCTTTTTAATCAGTTTTATTCATTCTGTTTTTACGTTCTTTTATTTTTATATTATATTTTTATTTTTATTTCTTACAATCTAACTTTATTTTCTGCCAGTTCTTTTGTATTTATTTTATTTATTCCTTTTTTCTGCATGTCCTTTTATTTTGTATTTACTTTCGCTTAATTGGACTTAATTTTCTGTCATTTCTTTTTGATTGATTTATTTTATTTATTTTTATTTGCTTTTTCTTTTTTTTGTTTTGTTTCGATTAATTCAACTTAATTTTCTGTGATTGTATTGAATATTTTTCTTTAGTTAGTTTTAGTAAGTTTAGCTTAGTTTCTATTTCTTTTAATTAAGAATGGAACAGCCAAATGTAAAAAAAATTAAATATATGATCAGATGGTGTAATAAAATAATGTGCTAAACAATTTTAGGGATAAGATATGAAGCACACATCAAAATATAGAAAATTAAGTTAAACAGATGATTAGTGACTTTCAGGAGCAAGCGGGCTCTTTGTGAGCATGCGCAGAAAGTTTTTGTTGAAATTAATTAGGAAAAAAAAGTATTTATTTTAATGATATGTTAAATAACTAGTCTGAAACAGTTCTAAAGTAGACTAAAACCTATTTTTCCTTTGCGTTTTACGGTTTAAATGAGCGTTTGATGGTCTTTTTTAGTGGATACTGAATGTGTAGCATCGCGGTATTGGAAGGACCCCCGGCCTTTGAAGAGGTGTCCGTGGCTCTGCCTGAACAAAAACAGCTAATCGAAGCGTTTAGCGGCTCTTTTGCTGTTTTTTGCGGCCTGAAAAGCTCTCAGGGGGGGCGGCGTGGGTCATGGGGACACTTAGACCCCCCGGGATGGACGCTGGCCGTCGGCCTGTGGACTCAGGCTCAGCTTTTATTCCCGTTCCAGCTTTTTTCCCCCCATGGGATCCAGATCAGAACCCCAAATTCTGCTCTGGTGCTTAGGAGAAACTGAAAGCTATCTAAATGTTGAATATTGACTAAAAATGTCCTAAATATAAGAAAAACTTTTGCTGCTGTCAATAAGCTAGATGTTGGCTATTAGCTAGCTCAATGTGGGCTAAAACATGGCTAAATAGTGGCAGTAGGTAAGCATATTGTTGGCTTAAACATGGCTAAATATTGGCTACTAGTTAGCTCAATGTGTGGCTAAAACATTTCTAAATATTGGCTAGTAGTTAGCTTAATGTGGGCTAAAACATGGTTAACTATTGGCAATAAGTTAGCATGTTGTTGGCTAAAACATGGCTAACTATTGACAATAAATTAACATGTTGTTGGCTAAATATTGGCTATTAGTTAGCTCAATTTGCGTTAAAAAAATAGCTAAATATTGGCCATTAGTTAGCTCAATTTTTGGCTAAAACATGGTTAAATATTGGTTATTAGTTAGTTCAATTTGTGGCTAAAACATGGTTAAATATTAGCTATTAGTAACCTCAATGTGTGGCGAAAACATGGTTAAATATTGGCTATTAGTTAGCTTAATGGGGGCTAAAACATCGTTAATTTTTGGCTATTAGTTAGCTAGATATGTGTCTAAAACATGGCTAAATATTGGCTATTTGTTCGCTCATTGTGGACTAAAGCATGGCTAACTGTTGGCAATAAGTTAGCTTAATGGGGGCTAAATATTGGCTATAAGTTAGCTTAATGTGGACTCAATATGGCTAAATATTGCTATTAGTTAGCTTAATGTGGGCTAAAACAAAGCTTAATGTTGGCATAATGTGGGCTGAGTTAAATATTGATTAACTTTTAGCAATGTTGCTTGAAGCTAAGATGAGCTAACTGGCTCTGTGGGCTTCAGGGGCGGGTCTCTGCCGCCCCCTGTAGGCCGGTGTGTGTAACAGCAGGAGCCTGGGACATGGTGCGTTCAGGGACTGCCTGAAAGCCCCGGACCAGGGAAACACCTGTGTGCTGCGTTGATTTGTTGCCTCATTTTCTGGTATATTTGTGTATTTGAGAAGCTTTGCTGTCATTCATCTTCTGTGTGTATAATTTGTGTGTTTCTGGTCGTCTTTTTTTGCATAATTTGTCTGTTTATTAAGGATTGTTTTATTTGGTTCAACTTATTCTTATTTTTATGCTTTTAAACTCACTTTTTAACACATTCTCTAGTTTGTAAATAACTTTGAAATGTGCTAAACAAATGAATTTGCCTCTCATTCTGCTCTGATTGGCTGATTTTCCAGCCAATGGTAATGATTAAAAAATAATAATGATAAAAGATAGATTTTATTCCTATAAGTCACTTAACAATGTTGGGAAATCTCAAAGTGCTTAACAGTTCTACACGGTTCTATCAATAAACTGTTTTTAAAAGATATTTCCTGAAATAATTAAGATTAAAACATAAGAGATATAAAAGGATTTTTTAATTTTTTTTTTTTTAATTAAAAATCTGTTCAAGAAATATCTTAATTCTCTTGTTTATTTATTTGATTTTTTATTTATTTAATGCATTGTTTGTTTTATAGTATTATTCATTGTAACGTAGCTATTTATTGTATTTCATTTTCTGTTTATTTTTAAGGAATTTTTTTTTTCTTTATTCTCAGTAAGTTTCCAGCATGGGACAGGTCACCAGTACATCTCATTTAAATAGAATAAATCGTATTGGTATAAATTGGTATAATCTTTTTTTATTATTATTTTTTTTTTAATTTATTATTTTTTTTTTGCTTAATTTCATTTCATTCATTTTAAGGTCTGAGGGTGTGGCGCAGTGAGC